CCAGCTTCTGTTAATCTTTCAATACATTGAGGTACACCATCTTGAAGTTTATCTTCTATGGCAGTCATACCAAGTAATTTCATATTCTTTTCAATTTCTTCATATAATTCATCTATTTGTTCTTCACGTCTTTGCATACTCGTACTAAATAATGTTAATGAAGATTATACTAATCACATAACTAATTATACTTACGTAGCTCTTTTTAATTTTTTTGCCCATTTTTCATAATCCTTTGCAGTTAATTCTTTCCATGCTAAACATAATGTACGTAAACCTTCGCTAGCTACTTTCTAAACGATAAAAATCGTACATTGACAATCAAATGAATTACATGCATACATGTAAATGATTATGTGTTATTGCCATAATATGTTTTTCTGATGGATCTAATCTTTCTTGGATCACTGAATCGGCACCTTTACAATATAAAATAATTCGTCCATGTTTTCTCACTATAACCTAAAGTCAAAGAAAAGCATTAAACAGAAAGTGAAGAGAAATACTTACGGACATACGTTTTCGATAATTATTAAAATCAAGAATATTTAAAAGATTAAAAGTCTCGATTTGATTTCGAAAACGTACTTCGATACTACTTTGAGTACGATTCTAGAAAAGATAATAAAATAATTTAAAAGTCAGTTGATTAACAGACATACAAGAAATGCAAAACCAAATGTACGTGCAGCTGTTACTAATGCATTTTCATCAGGTGATTGAGCTTGATAAATAATTTTATCATCCTTTTCTTCAGTCACAACTGTATGACATAACGCCAAAAGTGTAAAAAAATGATTAATATGATTATCTTCATTTTTCGCAATGGCATCAATTAATGTTTTATCATACCAAACAAAATTATTATCTTGTTCTACAAATTTAATAGCTTGTAATTCATCAGCAGTTTGTTTATTATCTTCATTCTTATTTGGTATATCATCTCCATATAGTTTGCCTCGAATAGAGCATTTCTTGAATGTCATTATATTCTAAAAACGATAAATATTTTGTATCTATAAGATTAATATTAGAAAGAAAATATTTCTTGGAGAATGTTCACAAGCGAAATGGAACCAATAATATCTTATTAATGTTTTTTTTTCTTCTGGACAGATAATTAAAAAACTATAAAAGAATGAAAATTTATGTTCTAGAAGGAATATACATAATATATAGTACAATGGGCACAAAATTCTTCATATCAAACCTAATTTTCAGAGGACCATCGTCTTTTCGATGTTCATGTTGAATAAAATAGTATTCAATAGATATGAAATCTATATCGATATTATAGTAGGATAGAATGCAAACATTAGTATGATTTTTACTCTATTAACTTTAAAAAAGTTATAAAACAATCAGAATAGGCACAGAAACAAATTCAATAAGTATCTATTTCATTTTTAACTGACGATATTTGTTACATAAATCTTTCAATTGACATACCTGAGTTAATGTTCCTGTTTTATCTGAGAAAATATATTCAATTTGACCTAATTCTTCATTAAGTGATGCTGTACGTGCTTGAGCTTGTACATTATCTGGTTCATAATACATACTATTATCCCAATCGATCCATTTTGATTGGAAAAGACGAATAAATTCTATACTAATATAAAGTGATATTGGTACAACAGTATTCAATAAAATAACATAAGAAAAAAAAACAAGTAAACCCATTTGAATAGCACCAGTACGTGAATTTGATGAAATATAAGATTCCCAAGATAAATAAATACGAAATTTAGAACCAACATTATATTCCCAAAATCCACAACAAATCGCCATTATAGAACATATTAGAAATAGAAAAACGAAAATCTACTGGAAATTAAATAATCAATATCCCAAGTGAATGTACTGAGTTCAAAGTACCCATGTACTCGGTAAGTCATCAACCGGGCACTTTTTCAGATACCCTATTATCAGTATATCACAGAATCTTGGTTGAGTACCCTACTGAATATTGTTCCAGTACAAGCGTACCTAGCAGATACCGGCCCAATTTCTATAGAATTCTATGGAAAATTTGTCAACAAATTAGCATGTAGATTGAACAGTTAGAAGAATTTTTTTAATCAGTTGTTAAAAACCCATAAAATACACTGGAAGTACTGAAGTATGCAAAGGTTCCTACGACATACTGGTAGCAGAGTATCCTTGCGGGTATGCTGAAATCAGTATATTCACTATGGCAATATAAAATAATTTACTCCTAATATTATTTTATTTAACCAATGATCAATTTTGGTTCGTTTGAATTTTGGTTTATCACTGTTTTGCATTAGTTTTGTATCTGGACCAGCATAACATACAACTATAATCGAAACAAAAAAATGTTTAAATCATTTTTAGAATAATACAAATTTACATATGAAGACAATATCACATGAAAAACGATGTTTGATGTGAGAATAATTCACTTACTTCCAAAAGCCCATTCTGTATTTCTTAATCGTGTTCCACGCAATAAAACATTATCATTTTTTAATGAATATATTTTTCGATTCCATTTTAAAGTACCTTCAAACCGAAGAAAGTTATTATTCGGTGGTTCACATTCAATTTCAGCTTAAAATACAAATCAATAATTACTAACATCAATTTAATCTTTTTTTGTTTAATTTTACCATGAAATTTCGATAATTTTTCTAAATCGTCTTGAATATCAACTGTTACTTCAAGTGCTTCTCGAGGTTTCAGATTTGTCTCACTAAAAAGAAGAATAATATAAAGTTTTCATTAATTTTAATTAATAATTTTTCTTACCCGTCTAAACTAGATGTTTCAATTAAACATAATCCGTTAGGTTCACTTGTTGAAATTAATATCATATCAGCCTTAAAATATTAAATTTATTAAATTAAATAATTCAAAATATTTTTACAGGTATAAAATCATTATTATTAATTCTTATTATATCACCAACTTTAATTTCTATCCAATATTTTCTCACAACTTGTTTATCAATTAAAATATTACATCGTCGATTATTGATTTGTCTATCACTTCGATATCTTGCCTATGAAAAAAAAAATAATATAGATTAAAACAATACATATATATATATATATGTAAGAAACAAACAAAATCATCAACACCATCTTTGATTGCTGTAACTGCGAGTACAAAAACTAATGATAATAAAGTAGTGATTGGTTGAAGTGAACTAATTTGTGGAATGAATAATAAAATAAGTAGAAATAAAAAGAAAGCATTAGCAAGTCGACGAAATTGTTCAAAAAGATTTTTTGGTAAAAATGTTATTATATTATATTTTGTTGTTGAAATTCTATTTTTCTTTTAAATAAATAAATAAATGAATTTCAATCAATTATTAGTCAGATTTTATCTTACCGAAAATTTTTTTGAACCATTATATATTGGATCATTGGCTTTTATTATTCGATTAGCTGCTAAAAATATAGAATGAAGATTTTATGATAATTAGTGTTGTTGTATCATTATGAAAAAAGTTACTTGCAACTTTATTTTTCATACAACAAAATATTCTTTGCATGTCAATGTACAAACACCAATCTAAAACAATTAATGTGTCATATTGCGAGCAAATGTTGACTTCTACTATTATTGTTATTTGTCAAAAACTAAATGTTTGTTTCCAATCTATTTAAATTTTCTAATTTAAAAAAAATTTGAATTATAGAATTTTCTCTCAATCAAATCTAAAACACGATAACTGTACTGATATATTCAATAAGTTCCTTCATATTATGTACATCGCTGCTTGCATGATGAATAACTTAATTTGTTGTTAAGAGAAAATCTTCACAAATGTTCTTACTAGGTAAGAGTTTTTAAACAGAATGGTTATAACAAGATAACATATGTCAGTTTATGCATGCCTAAAAAAGAAGAGAAAACTCTCTGTAGAAAACAGAAGTAATTTAACCTTCTCGATGTATAAATTGTTGTTCAACAGCAAATTTGTTTTACAAAAAAAAAAAATTTTTAAACAAGAAGATTCTTATCAAATAAGAACAATACAATTAAATAGCACTACAGCGATTCATTCTCCGTTATAGTAAATAAAATACTTAATCTTTTTCAATAATCGCCATAAAAAATTCATTACCTTTACAAATGCTGACAGAGGGAACATTAACAATTATGAAGACATCGTGCTAATAAGAGATTTTCAAGGTTATAAATACTTTTTTTTTAAGACATAGAATATTGACCTATTTTATTTCTCTGTTTTATATTTGGAATTGTTGACTGTTTTATAACCTCCACATATCAAAATTAATGTTTTATATCAGCCTCCTTTTTTTGTCTTTTCGTGTGCGAGAGTATATAGACAAGCGTATATCTAAAATATTTTTGTGTTCTTTTCTTATCTTTAAAGATCTATTTCTATAATACGAACTGATAGGTGTTTAGTTTTTACTATTTTTTTGTTTTAGTCACTGCATGCTTAACAATATTTTGGAATCATTTTATAGAAATAAAACANTCGTCTCAAATCAGATAAGCCTAATTTATTAAATTAAACCGATACGTTGTTCATCGTGTTACACTTAGATTAGGAAATAAATCTGCAACATATTTATTTTATCTTAAAAAGTGATCAAATTTTAAAAAAACAGTATCAATTTGATTAAGTTTATTTCGTTGTGATGCTGTAGAAAATAATGCTGATGCATAGCGACCTTCTATATCAAGTACTAGAATTGGCGGAAGTAGAAATGAGGATGATAAAGAAGATTTTGTTGTTTGACATGATAAATTACTTGTACTAAAATAATGATTGAGTTGAGTATGAAGAATAACTAATCGACTCACTAGTTTCCTGTAGAATCAGAGAAGGAAAAGAAAAAAAACAAATCAGAACTTTTTTTCATTGGTTGGAATAAGTCCTCTATTCTTGTGTCGCTTTTGATTATTGACGTCAAAGTAGTACGTGCTGAGACTTCTTTCGAGTACATCTTATGAACGAGATTTTAAAATCGATATTGTTTTGTTTAAAATAAAACATGTCGACGTCGAAGCCTGTCGAATGGGTTTCAGCACTAATTGAACGATTTGAAGATCAAGTAAAATTTAAAAAAAACGAATTATTTTGTTTTTTTAGCTCTTTTTTTTTCAATTAATTTTAGTTACCAATTAAATGTGGAGAATTAACAAATCCAATGCGTTCAAATTTAGAGCAAAATAAAGAATGTCTTATTGCATTAAGTCGATTTAAATTTTCACTTGTTATTAATGGTTTAACAGATATCTTAAAAACAATTGATAATACCGTATGAAGAATTCTTTTCGGTTTTGGAATATTTTTATTTTTTTATTTTTAGAGATTTGGTGGATATGATCAAGAAAAAAATATTTATGAATCATATTTAATTGTACTTGATGCTGTTGAACAATGTTTAGCAAATGTAAATTAAATTTTATTTTTTTTATTGTGTTTTTATATATTCTAATTTGTTTTTTATATTCTAGACAAAAGATTTAAGTACTAGTCGTTTGGATGAAGCTATCTATGTTAATAAATTATTGCCTGTCGTTTGTAAGGTAATAGGAGTGAATGAATTTGAGGAATGATGCATTCTCTATTTCGTTGTGCTTAGCTTTTGAATGTGCCCGGTGATGGAATAACAGTTCAGCAAGTTCGGCAACTAGCTTCGAATGTTTTATTTGCATTAAGTGTAAATAATTTCGGAACACTTTTTAGTAAAGTTGTTTCAAGGTAAATTTGAGATTTATTTGTGTTTTGTAAATTTTATTAAATAGTAAATTCATATTTAGAAAAAATTTAGTTTTTATACAGGTAAAAAGATAAGATTCTAAATGAAAATTTTGCTACTAAATTAACACTACTAATAAATTAAGATATTTTAATGTTATTATAATAAGTTGTTGTTTTTTTTTCTAATGAAATTTTAGACTTGAATGTTTAATTGCATCGGGTGACGAAACGTGTGAAGCCGGTGATCTTGATCTTATTCAACATATGAATGTTGATATGCTTAAATTAACAAGACTTCTTAATGGTAAAAAGACTTTCTTTTGCTCAGGAAACTTCTTCATTGAAATTGATTATTGTTTTATTTCAGAGGAAGTACAAAAATGGAGATTACTTAAAAAATTTCATCATACAGAATTGGTTAAAAGTGTTGAAAAAGTATTAAAAAGAAAATTTAGCAGAGAAAAAAAACGAATTTATTTTTCTTTAGGCTATTTGGAATTGGTTAGATACATATCCAGAAGAATTTACTGATTTACAAAAAAGACCAAATGCTGAATTAAGTGGTAAGAAAAAATAAATTTTTTTGTTTTGTTTTTATTTTAAAAAACAATTTATGAAAGCATATAAGTCACTATTAATTTTATTAGTTTGTGAATTTCGATAAAAAATATTAATTTATATATACAAAAACTGTAACACTTAAGTGTAATGTAACAATAGAATAGATAGTTCGATTTAAAAAGTGCAACATGAAAGATTTGATTTTTAAATACAGACGTGACAAGATTTCTTAATCCCGACGGTCATGAAAAACTTAAATCATTTGGACTAATATAATTCATTGTAATTATAGTCGTGCATATTATTTTCGAAATCAACCAAAAATACAATAATATTCCTTTGTTAAAAAAATATGTATAAATATTTCACTTTGCTTTTAAATAATAGTTTACTCAAAAATAATGAAAAAAAAAAATATCTAATTCGTCTGTTTTCGATCAAAATCCATCAGTTTTTCCTGTCTAACGAAAATAGTTCGACTGCGAAGAATTGTATTTTAATACTTGTAGAAGTAAATCTTCCAAATGTAATAGAAGCTCATTCTATCAGAACGAGCACAAAATAGCAATGCAAATCATCTAATAGAGTAGCTGTTTGCTTTTTAGTTTTGTTTGATGTATCTAATTTCGCTTGTTCTATATGTATTCTATTAACGAGCAAATGAGTTTCTTTTGTGAATTGAAAAATGTTTACTCATTGACATTAATGAAAGACAGTTGTTCACGAACTGGCAAATAAGAAAGAGGCATGCTTTAATACCATTATGATGAGCTTCTTCCTGTTATAGGATTAAATACAATATAGAAATAAAACGATGGAAATTTTAATAAGTTGATAGAAATATGAACAAACGTTTTATTGAAAAATGATCAATCGAAATTACGATAGATCTTTTCAGACTCAAAAACAATGAAATATCTGTATGATATGAGTACGATATTTATTATTGAAATATTCATAAGATCTATATTACGTATTTCATAAAAATGAGAAAGCCTCATTTAGTAATAAAAGGTTTACTTTATACTTCTTTCAAGATAATTGAGCTTTATCTTCTTATGTTTTTGAAATGAATATAAGCTTCTAAAATGACGTTACCTGACATAGTTATATAGAATCTTTTTCTCAACTTCTCCAAATCTCGATAATTTCTCAAACTAAAGTATCGCAATAAGCGCGACTTAACATATCTACATTAATTTTTCACGAAATGCTGATGATAGATGAATGTGTAAATGAGAAAAATAGTGAAATGAATGCACGCATCAATCAGGTTATCTGATAATAAGAAAATGAAGAAGTATAGAAATTAATTTATGATTCGTCGGCGACTATTATAACTCGTATCGAAGTTTTCGAACACTTTCAAAACTTCAACTTATCGAATATTTTGCACTTTTGTACTTATCAGCAAATTGAATCATAAATATTAAAAAAAAAGTTGATAGCAATAAAAGCTGACTTGCAAAACAAATTAGACGCCCAGCAGACGATTATTCTGTGGAAATATTTAACTCATATTAAATAAATTAGCCTCGTTATGCTAAATAACAACTGATATTTCTTTATGTTGACTTTATTCAAAAACACTTATTAATCAACCAATTGTTGATTTACATCTGTTCATCTCTAAACTCAAATAGTAATCGAGTGTGTTCAATATTTATTACAATAAACTTGTAATTATGACTGTCATTCTTTGATTTTTCTCTACTCTCGTTTCAATGTTCAAAATATTTTATTTAATTACAACTAAATAGATCAACCTTAAACTTTTAATTAATAATTCATTTATTTACTTTTTTATCCTCGTATTCGATTGAGAATAAAGTAGTACAGATGCTGATTTTTATTCTAATAAAAAAAAAAAAAAAAACATGATTGTATTCATCATTATTGTAATTAAGTATGTTTTTTTGATATTTTATAATTTTCAAATTTACGAATTTATTTTATAATTGTTATTGATTATAAATATTTTCTTTAGACAATTGTGAAAAACTATTTGAATTACTTGATTCATTTGGTGAAGCAAATCGTCGTAAAGTTCAATATGTTTGGCCACTTCAAATGATGTTATTAGTATTATGTCCAATAATTCTTGAAGAATTAGTTTATGCATTAGAAAAAGGTGGTCCTTGTTCAGCTGAACATTTACGTAAAAGAAATTTTGTTGATGCATTAAAACGTCAATTACATGCACAAGTATTAGGTAAACAACATTCAGCTGGTGGNCTATACAAGTAACATCAAGTGAAAAAACAAAAGTTCTTGGTCATAGTGTTTTACTTAATGATGTTTATTATGCATCAGAAATTGAAGAAGTTTGTCTTGTTGATGATAATCAATTTACATTAACAATAGCTAATGAAACAGGACCATTATCATTTATTCATAATGATTGTGATAATATTGTTCAAGCGATTATTCATATTAGAACAAGATGGGTAAATAATATTATTTTTTTTTCCTTTGTTTTTCTTTTGTAAAACAAAATATTCATTTCCTTTTTTTTCTTTAAAGGAACTTGCTCAACCTGATTCAATACAAATTCATAATAAAATTCGACCAAAAGATGTTCCAGGAACATTATTAAATATTGCCTTATTAAATTTAGGTTCACTCGATCCATCATTACGTTCTGCAGCTTATAATCTATTATGTGCATTAACACAAACATTTGATTTACGTATTGAAGGTCAATTACTTGAATCATCTGGTCTTTGTATTCCATCAAATAATACAATATTTATAAAAACAATATCAGAAAAATTAGCATTAAAAGAAGCACATTTAACATTAGAATTTTTAGAAGAATGTATTGAAGGTTTTAGAAATTCAACAATTGAATTAAAACATCTTTGCTTAGAATATATGACAAAATGGTTACCAAATTTAACAAGATTTTGTAAACAAAATGATGATAATAAACGAGCTAAAGTTTCAATGATACTTGATAAATTAATAACATTAACTATTGAAGAAGATGATATGTATCCATCAATCCAAGCAAAAATTTGGTCACATGTTGGACAAGTTAGTGATTTATTAGATATTGTTTTAGATTGTTTTATAAAACGATCTGTACTTGGTGGTCTTGGATCATTACAAGCTGAAATTTTAGCTGATACAGCTGTTGCCTTAGCTAGTTCAAATGCTTTATTATTTTCTCGAAAAGTTATTGGACGTCTTTGTCGTTTAATTGAAAAAACATGTTTATCACCAACACCAACATTAGAACAACATTTAATATGGGATGATATTGCTATATTACTTCGTTATTTATTAATGCTTTCATTTAATAATTCACTTGATGTTGCATCACATTTACCATTTTTATTTCATATTGTTACATTACTTGTTAGTACAGGTCCATTAACATTACGAGCATCAACACATGGTCTTGTTATAAATATATTACATTCATTATGTACATGTTCTCAACCACAATTTAGTGATGAAACTCAACGTGTTTTACGTTTATCTTTAGCAGAATTTTCTTTACCAAAATTTTATGCATTATTTGGTTTATCAAAAGTTAAATCGGCAAGTGTTATTGCATTTCGTACAGGTATAATAAGACAACAACAACAACAACAACATTCAAGTCAAATATTATCACAAGATAAACAACAACAACAACAAATTTTAACAGGACGTTCAATGACAATAACAAATACGTATTCACCAACAATTGAACAACCTGAAAGAATGAGTTTAACATCTCTTGAAACAATAACAGATACTTTATTAGAATTAATGGAAGCTTGTATGAATGATATACCTGATTGTGAATGGTTAGCACAATGGCAAGAATTAGCTAAACGTTTTGCTTTTCAATTTAATCCTGCTTTACAACCAAGAGCTATGTAAGTCATGTTAAGAAATTCTTTTTCTTAAGATTATTTTTTTTTTTTTTTGTATTTTTTTTCAAGTATTGTTTATGGTTGTATATCAAAAACAACAAGTGATGGAGAAATCAAAACCTTATTACGTATACTTGTTAAAGCACTCGAATCATTTTCAGATATTGATTTAATTGATTCAATAATAATGTGTTTAACACGTTTATTACCATTATTATCACCAGAATCTAAAATACATAAATTTATGTTTTGGATTGCTTTATCAATTTTACAATTAGAAGAAACACAATTATATGCATCTGGTTTAGCATTACTTGAACAAAATCTTCATACACTTGATCATATGTTAAATTTATTTGAAAATACAAGTGCACATCAACAACAAACTTTAGAAAGAATTATGATGGATGCTAGAGAACCATTAGAATGGCAATTCAAACAACTAGATGCTAGTATGGGTTTATCATTTAAATCAAATTTTAATTTTGCACTTGTTGGACATCTTATTAAAGGTAAGAAGAAAAAACAAAAGAATGTTTCTTTGTTTTGGTGTTTTTTTTGTTTAGATTAGTTTTCCATTAGGATCACGTAATAAATATTCTTGATTAGCACCATTTTTATTTCCAACAGGTGGTTGCATATAAGCACATCCATTCCAATTTTCATTTAGTGTACTATTATTTGTTGTTCCATGAATACAAAGATAATAAGGCATTGTTGAATTAGCTAATTCTAGTTTATCAATACGAATAGAAATACTAGAAATAATATCGAAATTATGTTTTATTGAAGGTAGATTATAACTACGTTGACCGAAATAATTTGATTCTTCATTGTTATATAAATGATGCCATTCACTTTTTATACCATCACGAGTTGTTAAACGAATTGATAAACCTGTATCATTTTGACTAAAAAAAAAGAAAAAGAATTTGAAGAATATAAATTTTAATAAATCTTACCCGACTTTTGGAGTTAATACTCCATTAGCTTCTAAAAGTATATTAACTATATAAAAATTTTCATTATCACCATCAATTAAAAAATCATTGTTCATGAACGATGTTTCATTCAATGCATTAATCACTGTTGAAATAATCATAATGCATCCAAAGTAAAATGAAATATATTGTTTCATTTCGATCATTGAATCAGTAAGTTAGAAGAAACGAAATCTTGCTTTATATAGACCGACAATGGAATGTTGTGTTTTTCTTTTATCAATGAACTAGAAATCTGATGCATATCAATAAAATGACTGATGATGTTATTGTTTCAAATTTATTTGGTTTATTTTTAGGTTTCCGTCATCCAGTACAATCAACTGTTGTTCGTACAACTCGTGTTCTTTCTACTCTTCTTAGTATTACCGCAAAATCTGAATCACATGATAAATTTAAAGTAACACCAACATCTATACCATATTTAGCAGCATTAGTTAGTGTTGTTGAAGAAGTTCGTACTCGATGTCCAATTAAAAATCGATCGAATATATTTCCAACAGCAACGACTACAAATACTTTACCTTCATCAAATTATACAACATCAGTTGTTAATCCTTTATCACATTTACCACAATCACATTCAAGTACATCTATTGCTGATATAGCTGGTTCAACGTCACTTAATGTTCAACAAGGAATTTTTACTCGACGATTAAAATCTTGGGATTCATCTTATTTAGATAAAACAAGAAAAGTCAGTGCAGTATCAACAATTAATAGTTCACGTTTATTGTCTATACCACCACATGCACGATATTATCAATCAATTGATATTGAAAATGCAATACCACGTATTTTAACTAAACCAGCTTCAACACTTGTTCAATTACAACAAGTTAAACAATCTGTACCAGCTATTGCTGTTACACCACAAATTTTACCTGAAACACAGCAAACATCTGAAGTAAAATATGAGAAATTTTCAATTTAACTCTGATCTCAAATGAATTTTTTATTAAAAGAATAGATACTGATTCGAATGAGATGACAGTATTTTTTCATTCGTATTAAATTGAATGAGTTTTGGTGTTTTATGCAATTATCACAAAACATCGGATAAAAAATGTTCACAAATAATCTATTTGAATTGTTTCACTTATTAGATATCCAAAGTGTTGTATTCATTCTTGTCGTTATATGAAGTATTTGAGTTTGTCTATAGAAATTATATAATTTAAGAAGATAATTTAATCGAACCAGTAACAATAATAAGTGAAACAATTCAAAGAAATCATTTACGAACATTTCTCTATTCAATTCTTTATATCATTGCTAATTTTATTGCGTTTGACAATGTGTAAAATCAAGAAAAATCTCTAACTATAAATTATAAAGATTACGGGGATATACATTGTTCTATTTTGTGATGATTGTTTTGACAATGATTCGTACCAATCGATAAAATTTATAAAACTACATCTATTGAATATTCTTTTACAAACATTCTAAGAAAATAAACTAAGTGGGAATAAAAATAGTTCGATACATTTGAAAATAGATTCTGATGAATGTCTGATTGTTCGATCAAAGTCAAAGTATTCATTGAATACCACTTTTCGAACATTCATTTTCAAATGTTTTGCTTTACGAGCGAACCTCCTCAGCTGCTCTCTTATGAGTTAAATGATTTTTTTTGTCTATATATACCAAATAGTGTTCTAATAAAAACTCTAAAATAATTTGGGTTCTTATTGAGATTTGAATAACTCTGCGCGTATAGTTATACATGGAAAATAGCCTACATCTTGAAAGTCTTATATCTCGAAGAAATTTTTTTCAAATTTTCTGAATTTTTTAAAGGAAACTAATTCTATATTTGTAAAGTTTCAGATCAAATTTCCGAAAACTTGAGATCCTATAAGGGCTTCTAAAAAAATGCGATAACTTAGTCAAATATCAATAGAAATTTAAATTCTTTTAGAATTTTTAGTGGAACATTATGTAATATATTTGTGGACAAAACATCATTGAAATCAGAAGGGACCAAGTGAAGAGGTTCTCTCGTTATAATAAATTCTCGTAAAAAACTTTGTAACATGCCTTTACTAGAGTATCTCATAATAGAATTCCATACTGGTACAAATATCTAGTAAAAACAATGCTCAGATTGAATGAACATGTATTTTAATAATATTCATCATAAGTTAATATATAAACATTTTGTTATGTGAAATAAATTTTAAAAAAGATTCTAATTTATTTAGACAAGCTGTGAAACAAATCTATTATTAGATCCAGATATATTAATAGATACATCAACACAAGCACTTTTATTAACTGTATTAGCAACACTTGTACGTAATACATCCGATGAAAATGAAATGAGAATATTATATGAATATTTATCGGAATCAAGTATTGTATTTCCAAAAGTATTTCCAGTTATACATAATTTATTAGATGCAAAAATAAATTCTGTTCTTTCATTATCACATGATGAATCAATCTTAGCATCAGTTCAATCGATAATATATCAAATGATTGCTTGCTCAGCTGGTGATGATGCAAGTCAACAACAACAACAACTTAGCTATTTACAATCATGTGGTTTTGGAGGTTTATGGCGTTTTGCTGGACCATTTACTGTATCAAGACAAAATCCTGATAATGTTGAATTATTTGTTAATTGGTTAGAAGCAATGGTTGAGACATGTTTACCATCATTAGATGAACATGAAGATGATTCAGGTAATAGTGGAGTTGGAAGTGGATTAACTGGAAATAATGGTACACGACATACATCATTACACCATCATCATACATTTCGACATCATCATCATTATTCAGCTTCATCAGCAGCAGCTTGTCTTAATGCCAATTTATCTTCATCAATGTCAAGTGTTTCAATAGGTGACATTTTTTTTTTAATTTAAAATAAATCGATTATTTTATGTGTTCTATTAAATATAGATTCAATTCGTTCACCAATTGATCGTGATACACAATTTTTTGATTTAAACGATCTTAATCGACCAACACAATCTCAATCACAAAGTGAAAATTATGAAAGATCTCGTATAACGCAAAAACCCAATCTCATTTAAATATATAATTGTTGTTGATTCTTGTCATTCTAAATGTTGTAAATTTTTGTAATTATATTTTAATCTCTTTATTTTTTTTTTCTTAAATGTAGTGTTTCAATGTTAAAATAAATGTGCTTTTAATGAATAAATATCTATATATATATATATGTATGTATGTATGTATGAATAAATAATTTCTTTGTAGCAATGTCTTCAGGTGTTTATCAACCATATTTATTTGTAAAAAAAGAAGAAAAACCATTATTAGATGAAAGTTTAACAACAGATGCTGATCGACGCATATTTTCAATAATTGATCATATAATGGGTTCACAAAGAAAATGGTCGGGTATTAATAATCGATTAATTCCAAGTGATGGATCAGGAAGAATACCAGGAATGGGTTCAGCTGGAATGGCACCAGAAGAATTACGTGTGAGAAAATTTATGGAAAGTTGTACATTTAAAGCAATGATTAGTTGTGCAGGAGGTATGTTTTTATATTCAATTATATTGAAGTTTTTGACATTCTATTTTTTCTTTCAAAGGTTTTGTATTGGGTATTGGTCTTGGTGTATTTACAGCAAGTATTGATCCAATGTCAACAATTCAAACAACAACACCAGGTGCAACACCAACATTAAAAGATGTTTGGCGTGAAATGCGAACTAGATCAATGAGTTATGCAAAAAATTTTGCAATTGTTGGTTTAGTTTTTAGTACAGTTGAATGTAACATTGAATCTGTATGAAAAAAGTTTTATTTACTAAGAAAAAAAAATTGTTTTTTAATTTTTATTTTAGTATCGAGCAAAATCTGATATTCGAAATGGAACTTATGCTGGTTTTGTTACTGGTGGTTTACTTGGACTTCGTGGTCAGTTATATTGAAAATAAAAAACAATTAAATAAACTATTGTGACATTTTTTTTTCTAGCTGGACTTCAAGCGAGTTTTATTGGTGCGATCGGTTTTGCTGCTTTTTCAACAGCTATTGAATATTTTCTTTTGCACTATCATTAAGATACATTTGTTTTTTTGTTTAGAATAAAAATAAATGAAAAAAAAAAATAAAAAGAATTAGCTTATTTCTATATGATATGACTATGCTTGTTTAACTGTCATACGACCATATGGGTTCCATACAAATCCAAGTCACTTTCCTCACACTGTTATAAGTATACAATATTAGATGAAACTGCTCATATTCCAGATATGTTCTACTGAAGACTAGTAAAGTGTGCTGATAATATCCGTCAGTTATGCCCTCTCTTATTATTAACATGAGTAGACCATACCAAAGTACATGTGAACGTTTGTTGATTAGCTGAACTTCGCCCGAACTCCACTGTGACTCATTGTCATATTATGAATTTCATAACATTTAGTCGAACAATTTTGTTTTAGTTATACCTTGAAGATACTTAATACAGTACATTGTTAACATCTGTCAATCATATTATTCTTATGTAGAGCAGTTCAAAGTATGTGTAAATACTGAATAATGATGCATGATTTCAAACGTCTCAAAAATAGAGAATAATAAGACTATAATCAAAGACTAGATAAAGTATAGTTCAAATTGACTGTTTTTCTATTTTTTTCTTCTTCTTGTAACCAGGTCTTCTCTCGAGTCTTCACGTGTGCATGATAAACTAGTAACAATTTCCTGTGCTATATTTATTTTATCAAATTAAATCTGTATGGAACCCAAGTGGACAGGTATTGGTAGGGACAACGCAAAGGTCGTGTTTGGATTAGATTCAATCGTTTTCTCGTTGTTTACATAAAACATACATTTGTTATAATCATCATGATATTGCTTTGCATGTCATTGTGAATTGAAGTGTTGCATATGTAAAACGATTTTATTTTATGGTCTTTTTGTTTTATTGAAAAAAAAACCAATAAAAAGAGTCAAAGAGCTTTTTAGCGCTTGTTTTCACTTAATTTCTCAAGAGTATGTAACGAACAACCTATTAGAATTGAATGAAACGAGTTGATTTGATTCTCAGAAAGAAAGAGAACACTTTCAAAACAACATTCTTTACATATTTCATAGAGAATTTTCACCTTCTAAAGCTATCGGTGTTGTTTTTCGAAAAAATTTATTTGTTTCTGAACGTTTTAAAAATATTACTTAGGATAAAGGATATATTGATTACTTACTAATTTTTTTACAAAAAGGAAGCCAACGACTGACGTTTTAGTCTATGTTAATTATCAGCGCAGTTTTTGCAAAAAAATAGAGATTTTGCTAATTTTTGTTGGACGTAATTTCAAGTTTCTGCGATGAATATACAGCTGAAGTGTACGAAGCAATGAAAAGCAGAACCAAAAACAGCATTTGAAAAGTTCAAATTTTGCTTACAATAAACAAAATCGAGAGCTACTTCAGAATAGGTGATTATTATATTCGGCTGAACCATCACACTGTCACGCCAACCCTCAGTTTTTATATTATCATTTTAACTTAATCAGTATCCGGTACATCTTTCTCTTCCATGAATTCTATTATTTAAATAACTCATGGACATCATCCAGCGTAAAAGGCAAAGAGACATTTTCACCTTGACGAGCTCACTTCCATGCTGTACCATTGCTGGTGAACAGTCAAGTAGTCTTTTGCACCAAATATGCCTATAAAGACAGTTATGCTTGCTTTATCCATTTTGATTTATAAAGTGAACGACGTTAGGTTTTAGTAAACCATATCTAATAGGCTATATTAATCATTTTTGTTCTTCTTCGTGTTGATAATTTCAACTATACTCATTCGACCAACTATATAGGGATCGATGAAAGTTGAGCACGAGAGTGATCAGCACAATGAATGATGAGCACGAGAATGTTGAGCACCTCAAACAATTAGCATGAATACTAAACATCTTCAACAACTATCAATTATTTATTTAAATATATTTATACAAAATATTGAACAATGAATTATAGAGAGATGTTATGTGCAATTGAATCGATCTGAGTAAGAAAATCTTGGTGAGGAGCCGAGATAAGATTCAATAAACGTCTTTCAAAACGTTGATTCGTCTTCTTCGTTTTCGGTGGTTGTCCAACATTGATTTGTACTATGTTCGCGTGAACAGCATACTCTTCATCAATTAATTTCTGTAAAAATAGCCATAGTGTTGGATGAGCACATTGAAAGGCAGACGCGATTCGACGGTGGTAAGCTTCGGCGTTATTATTTGTTCTCATCGATGATTGCGTAGTTCTATTGTACATATTCCAGAATTCGATCTCGAATAATGCTTTTCTTCTGATGTGATTTGGTTTTAACCGTCCTAGAGTAATGACATATTAAACATTTCTTGTCACGAAAATCGAAAACCACTTATCGATATAAGTTTCTTCAAAATAATCCAGGATTGTATCATAATCATCATTAAGATCCATTGATAAACTTTCAAATCCATTAATAACATTGGCTGTTTGCAAAAACGTCAATGCAGCTATTTTGTGGATATTATGAGCGAACTCAGAATCAGTTTGGTATCGATTTTGATGCTCCAGTGCCTATTTTAAAAAGCGCATATCATCAATATTCTCAATCATTTTCACCCTCGCTTTTATTACCTGTAGTTTTCGATGAATGCTCTGTCTAAGATGAAAATAACAGCCGGATAACATGACAGCAGGAAAACTTGCTTGAAAAGCACCAATACACGCTTGTTCAAAATCGAGCATAATTGATCGAGGAGATCAGCGAGGCGCAAACTTTAGTATTTCATTAATGAGTCGTTGATATGTTTCCTTATTTTTTCGACGTAATAAAGCATATATTACTGGTACCACATGGTCACGATAAACACCATGGATAATATACAATTGATAAAATATCTCGGGAACGACTTTAAATGTGCCATCGACGAGAAATTCATCTGTGTGCTGCAGAATATAAATCTGTTCAACACTTGTGAATACTAATATTCTATCTTCACCTAAATTAGAAAGTATTGATAGAATGGGTATTGTTATTAATATTTATCAACATACCTGGGCCAGTATCACAGCACAGAAACTGATCTTGACGAACAGTTTTGGTTAACGGGATCGGAACAGATGAAAAATTTTGATCATTTGGTACCTTTACAAGCTGATTATTTTGACGCAACATTCGTATTCGACGTTTTATATTATCACGCACAGGTAAGCGGCGTGCAATTGTTGGATCAGACATCCCTAGTAATGAAAATATCGAGCGATGAATTACTGAAATTTAGTGAGAAACCTGGTGCTATTCCTACCTCTGTAACAATTTGTAATGATAGTGTCTGGAGTTTCTTGAGTATTGATAGCACGATGAGCAATTTGATCATCAAATTTTCTATGTTGAAGTGTCGTACCATCGATTTTACATGTATATTCAGTTGCTGGTTTTAAAATGTTATTAGTGAAAATACAGGTGTGAAGACGAGAACGACAACGATCCGATGAATATTTAATGTAACGCAAATAAGTTTTTTTTACTTGTTGATCGATCCATTATATAAGAATAACCATCATGATCGAGACGTGGTTTCTGTTTAGTTGTACCGTTATTTGTAATTGTTGCCATGTTGAGACGTAATAGAGTAACGAAGATAACATGCTTCCTTACATTTTTATAGCTATTATCGATTAATTGAATCATGTTAACTCTGTTGATCAATTTATGCGATTCAATTTTTTGCTTCGATTATATTTTCATATATGACTGGGAGTTATTCTATACTTGCAGTATTCGTGCTGATTGTTTGAGGTGCTCAACATTCTCGTGCTCATCATTCATTGTGCTCATTATTCCTTGTGCTGATCATTCCCGTGCTCAACTTTCCGTCTCCCTTTCTTTGGTACTTCCTGTACTCCGGACGTCCACGCAGTTCAGAAGAGTCCACGGAATCGAATTGAAGTACATCGACTGTGCGGAGTACAAGAGTACGTCATTTCCTGCTTGGGTAAATTAGGTGTGCATGTGAGTACATCTTCTGTTCACTCATACACTCATCAACTCTTTCCTTGATGCACGTTCAAAATCATATTCTGATTATGAAAATAATTCGCCGTCGAAAGAGTGAATATTCAATAAAACGATTCGTGGGTTTGTTAGCTACTCATAATTTACTTGTGCACACGAAAGTATCGTTTGTATATTTGTTCGCCACATGCAACTATATTCAGTATCCTGCAACCGTATCTCATACCTAATTATAAATGATATTCGTCTACATCGAAGTTCAAAATGATTTGAACAGAATAAGTAGTGTAACTTCGACCCATGTAAAATGTGTTTCAATTGTACGAACGGTTCGTCATTTATTGTAATCTCAGTTATATGAGTTTCTCTCAAACTAACATTAATGTTTCATAAATTAGTAAATAAAAGCCATTTGTTAATCAACAGATAATTAATCGTAAACCGACAAAAGATTGTTGATCAACGACGAGTGTTTCGCTACTGATAACAGAAGCGTGTGGGTGTCGTGCTTATCCACACCCATACCCATTTATAATCTTCCATAGTAAAACCAGAACTAATCGACCGTAATTCATTTCGTATTCAAACCATCTCAATGAACATGGATCACTTATTTTTATTGTTCAGTAGTATATGAATACAAAGTTCCAAACATTCAGCCCTCTGAGCATTTCAGGACATGCTTTTTGAATCATTTTTATTTGTAAATATAGTTAAATATTTAAAAATAAGATCTATATTCAGACAGAGCGTAATCGCTTTCGTATCTACACAATCTACACGAGAGCTTTCTTAAGCATTTTTGATGTCTCGATCGTTAAATTAAGCAATTCATTACTATATAATAACGACATAACTTAATACACCATCGTATCACATAAGAAAACTCTTCACTATAATTAAATAGTTTCGAGTCTACAAGTATAATTTTAAATTTTATGAAATATAAGCATTGATGACTTTTAAAATCAATTGACTTCTATTGAGCTTATAAGCCAAATACAGGTAGATGTGCTGTTATATATATATATAATTCCTTCGTCTGAGAACAAACACAACTGTAATTAGTTTATTTTGTTACTTCAGTCTGTATAATATGCAAGATTCGATTACATAAGATTCAAAAAATGGTAATAGAGTATTTAAGTTTTAAAGAAAATGTCTGCGCCTCCTAGTCTACGGTGAAAAATATGATGACGGCGATCATTCATTTTCTGCATTAGAACAAGCGTCTGTTTAGTTTTTTTTTATGCGGCGTTCGATCTTGACCACGTCATGCCATTATTTGATAAAAAAATGACGCGCAGCGATGGAACTCCAATGAATGGATTACCTATTATCTGCGATATTTTCTCTGCATCGAGTATCATCCTACTCAGTAACGATGTCGATAAAACCGGTACATGTTTTGGTAAAATATCGAAAGGTCGAAAATAAAATTGTCGCGAAACCAGCAACTTAACTCATGATAGTAGAAGTCGGTTGCTGTTGAAAACGTACGACAGTGTTGGAGACATTAACTGAGAAATAAAGTGAATGAATGTTAGAAAAAATATCTGATTCAACAATTATTTCTAAAGGAATGATGTCGAGATTGTTGAAGATTAAAATACAATCGATTGAAACAAGTCATGACATATATTTAACAAGTGACTGAAATGCAACCGGACGAGATAGTGACATTTCTGTAAAGTAAAAGTGACGAACGAAGAAAAGTGAAGATTCACTCTTGAATTCTGAAGGTAGAGTAAATCCATGAAAGCTATCAAAAGCAAACGGTATTCAGTAGATAAGCAAGCAACAATTTGCGCTCTGAACTAGAGCATTGCTTTCAACATAAGAGCCTATAGAATTGATTGCTGACAGTATTTCAATACTGTCCAATATTCTATTTGCAAGTGTAAACAAGATGTAGAAATCGAAATGATCGAGTGTTTTTTTTCATTCGACGAGTGTAGACCATATATTATCATTAAGTCTGATAAAATCCAATTTGACAACGACTTTTTTAAAAATTGTCCTTTCCGAATAACATCGATCTATGAAAGTTTAAATTTTATCGAATAAAAAACATATATTCTTTGCTATTTGAACAAGTATCAGGATACCTGGACCTGCCCTCCCCAAAGATTTTCCTGAAAGAAAGAAACTTTAAACCCCCCCCCCCCCCTTCAGAAACCAACTTTGTTATTTTTCATCCGATTTCAACCAAAATTTCAGAGAATGCTAGACTTGGCTAGAATAGATTATGGTTAAAATATCTCCCGAAATCTGCGAGCCATTCACGAGTTATAGTCAAATCATTGGTCAAAAATACCCTTTACGCGGGGAAGGTTTTCAATATGAGGATTCGAGCTTAGCATGTCGGGGTGGTTTTTAAATTGTAGAGTACACTTAAGGCTAGACCCTAATAGGGCCTGATTTTTTAATTTCCTTTTGTTTGATTTTTAAAAAAACTTTTCCGGAAAATTCTCAAACTCTTGGCAAAAAAATCGCTAATTAAAATCAAAGATCTAAGTTTTTTATTTAAACAAAGGAGAAATTCACAAATCGGGCCCTATTAGGGTCTAACCTCAAGTGTCTGCTATATAACAAAAATAATGTTACCACTTTTATATTGAGTCGTTATTGAGAAAGGTTTCCCGCGTAAACGGTATACTCGAAAAAACTGATTTTGAGAAAAACGAAAAATAAGTTTTTAAAAACCTTATTTTTTCAATATGAAGGTTCAGAAAAGCCTACGTAATATCCTTAAATCTCACTATAAAATCAATCAACTATAGTGCATTCGAGAGTAGACACTTTGCTCTATCTAACGAGCTATAAATCACAAAATTGATAAATTTGACCAAAATTGACTTTTTCTGAGTGGGAAGGGGCTTAAAGACAAAGCATTATGTAACGTGAAAGTTTTAGAGCTTTCATTTTCGGAAGTGCACTAGGAGAGTGTGGGGTAAATTTGAATCGTTTCATTACTCACGCTAACATCTGCATCCNCACATACGTGCAAGGTTCTACGCTCGACCAGGGCGGGGGTGGGGGGCGGTGGGGGACGTCCTGCCTGAAGGCAGTTAAACAATCAAAATTAGATGTCAACATTTCGAATCGGTCATATTTTCTTTTATATGAATATATTATAATGCTGCACTGTGGCCACAGAGTGAAATGAAGATATTGAACGTGAGGTGTACATTCTATAGTTTTAACTCAATGAAAAAGAGAATCAGTATACAATGTTGAATGAATAAGATTTATATAAAAGGAATTAGCCGTCAGTAGAGTATTCGTTGAAATTGAAGAACATTTGAAAGGACGAATTCCCTTATCGGTTCTTAATTTCCACTATTATCGAACCAAATACAAAGGCATATTAAATTTGCATGCAGCATTTTATTTTGCCAGTTGATGGCGTCGATAAGACTAAGTGAAAGCAGTTGGCTAAAACGATAATTGGATAAATAATAGATATGATGTTGATCAATTTTGAGTGTTTGAATAGATCTACAAATCCATTCCAGTTAATTATGATGTCCTTGCCAATCATTCTTAAGATCAATTCTCTTGACGTGACATTGAATGAGATTATCATATCAACTATTCAACTGAATAAATACTCGAAGAATATCAAATGTGGTAGAAAAATCAAAGACGTAGCAAATTACGTTTTTTCTCGTGACATCTTATGTCTGCAGTATGGTAAATAATCAAATGAAGTAGAAACGAGTGTTGTGTAACGAAAGAAAAGAAAAAAGAAATAAAACAAACTGAAGTTTTATCAACGAGTTTATTGACACTGGAATCGTGAAAAATTTAGAAGAATAAGAAACTGATCACATGCCTGGTTTCGCTTTTCAACGTCATGCATAAAAATATTGAAGTGCATTGACAAAAAAAAAGTACCTGATGAAATTGAAAGCAATGTCAAAATGTGAACAAAACGAAAACTAAAGCTAAATAGAACAAAGAGAAAAAGATGAAAGATTTATCGTTCTTTAGTTGTATAACTATTTTTTCCGAGAAATGAAATGATTAACGGATAGGCCGAAAGCTTTGACACAAATCATTTGTTTAGTTTTGATTCCACTCGAAAATATTTCCCAGAAGTTAAAAGCCATGGACTTCAACTAGAATTTGGCCCTCTTTCCGAATGTAGATTTACAAATTTTCTTGAGACCAACAAGATGATCAATAGTTTGAATAGAAAATTTCCCGTACACTTCTGTGCTTTTATTATTGCAACGCAAAATTAAATGTAGATATGTTTATTAATATATCAACTTATAGAGCAGATGTTACTCTACAAATTGTACTATTGAATTTTTTATTCGACAAATCAATTCAATTTCCTTTTCTCTTAAATCCTTAATGTTAAAAAATCAACTTGGTGACCAGAAGGTGTATTGTATACATGGGAACTCTTGACATAGTGCTTATAATTGCTCGTAGGGGAAAATCGCAGTTTAATTCAATATAAAATTTTGTAAAGAAGCGTTCGCTTGACAAAATATTCGATTCGAATATGTTTTTGACACCTTCGAAAAGGACCTTAAAGGGGTTAGCAGAAATCTATTAGTTCATTATTCCATCTAATTTTTTGGGCTTTTAAAAAAATATCTTTATTAGTCTCGAACAAAAACAGATACAATATTTCTAAATAGATTTTTAAAGAGAGTACGAAATTTTGATTTTTATCTATTGTTTTCGACTTGTCCGAGGTACTTTCAAGCAGATCAACATGAGCAACTATTTGCATCAGAAACTTCAGCTCAAATTTTTCGTCTGAACTCATTTTTTTGAATATTTCAAAGATTACCTTGCTTCTCTCAAACAAAAACTAAGATAAAATTCCTAAGGTCATATTCAGAAAGTGCACAATATGTTACTTTTACTTCATAGCTTTTGACTTCTCGAATATATTTTCAAGAGAACCAGAAATATACAAATATTTTGACTCATAACTTATGACTCAACCGTTATTCATTTTATGTAATGCATAAACTCTTATCTATAAGTAGCAATACAACTAATAAAATATAGTAAATCTTTTGATTTTCGTTATTATTGACTTGTTCATTTTTCTACCTCGAAAGAAATATAAAACTTTTATGAAATACGATCTAAAATGAGTGTCGAAGTATAAATGTATACATTTGATCCTTCTTCTTCAAACACCACAGACTTTGACAGATATCACTAAGTGATTATCACAAACATTGACAAATACTTGAGTATTTCCACTCTCTTCTCATGAGCCATAATAAACATATTCGTAATATCGAACCTAACTGTAGGATTAATATAAAGCACAATTCAATTTAAGATAGCTATCATTTGTCCTTCTTTCACACTAATTGCAATATGTTACGCTTATCATCATTCATCATCGACACACATTAATAGTAGGCAGTCATTCATAAACTGAAACTTATGTTATTAATTTCTCTCTTTGACAATGTCAAGAGCTTCATCGTCTTATATATTTTAATTCTTTAAGAATTTGTGCTAAAAATTTCTCGTAGCTGTAAGAAAATATAAATATTTAGTAGAAATGTGTCAGATATTTAAAATACAAAGACTAAAAAATCCTTTACTCATAAAGATTTTGTAAAAAGTATTTATATGGAATTGAATTTGATAATTAATCAACAACAGAATAAAAAAAATATTTTAAATTTTGATCAGTTGACTAAATTAATGTTATCTTTTTTATGTTTTGTTCTTTGTCTAAATTTATATTCCATCATTCTACAAAAAATTTAATACATCTTTCATTAATTTATTAATTATGATTGATAATCTACAATATATATCTTTATTTCAATATTCATATTTGATATTTTAGTTGTTAAATAAAATATTTTTCTATTTGTTTATTTTCTATAGACATTCTAAATTTTTCTATGAAGTTTTTATTCGTAAAAGAGAATAAACGTAAAATAACTGAACAAATCCATGACTAAAACTATACAATAATATTATATATTAAAAAAAAAAATAAATTGATTAAATTATTTTTTTATTTTATGTATGAAGAAGAAATTGTACGAAAGCATCATAATTAATTGAACCTGTTTTATGTGGATCAGCTTGGACAATCATATCATTAGCTTCATCTTCTGTTAATTCACTATCCCATACCTAAAATACCATGAAGAAATGATAACTAAAATGAAACTTTTTTTAAATTTTTTGTCTTACTCGAACAAATCGTTTAAGTTCATTAGCATTAATTGTTCCACTTCCATCTTTATCAAAAACTCGAAATGTTGCACGTAGTTCATCTTCTAAATCTTCTGGTTTAATAGGTGTTGTCATAATTGCTATAAATTCTCTCATATCAATTCCACCTGAATGATCTTCATCAGCTGAACCAAGTAATAATTGAGCTTCATTATTAGCTAATATCATGTCTTCAAAAATGAACAATAGTAACAAAAAAAAAAAAGAATGAAAGACTTTTATTTTTCAATACCTGCAGCTTCTGCTACTTGAATAATATCATCAGCTCCTACAAAACCTTTCGATTGTGTATCCATAATACTAAAAGCAGCTTGAAAATCTTGTATTTTTTCTGCTGATAATTCAGTAGGTAAAGATAAATCTTGAACACGCGTTCCATCTACTAGTTCTTTTTCATGTGAATGGCTCATTATCTCTTTTCTAAAATGAAGAAAGTTTACAGAATTTTGTTTTTTTTTTACTTTATTTTAGTGCTTATCTTTTCCAATTCATTTTAATAAATATCTCGCATACTAAGCACACACACACACACACATAGACGCACAAATGAAAAAGATGAGCATAGGATAGCATCAGCACTTTAAGTCGTAATCAAAAAACAAAGAAAAAAAAAAAAGAAAGATTTTTCGATTCGTGAAAAATAGAAGAAAATTCTTCGATACAACAACACATAAATCATACAAAAAGAAACTTTATGAATATATTTTATGTATAGAAACAGTTCAATGTATGTATATGTGTTGGAATGCGAATGCTCTGTTCATCTTAAATTATTTATTTAATAGATTGTAAAACTCCATTAATCTTTTTTGATTTTATTTGACCATCTTCTTCAATTATTTCTGTTATTTGACCATTTTCTTCCACTCTAGAATATATTTTTTTAAATAAAAATAATGTTCGAAATTTTTCTTACCGTGTAGTAGTCACACGTCGACCATTAATTGTTTTCGTAGATTTAGTTGTTTTCTTCGACATTGGTCGAGAACCACCACTTCTAAAAATAAATAATGACAAATATTTTGACACATTTATATATATTTATATACAAACCCAAATGACATATTAAATGATGAAACAGTTCCCATATTATTTCCTCCAAAATCACCGGCAAATGAATTATGATCGAATAAAGACATTCTCATTGGAGAAAAGAAATTATCGAACAAAGTCATTTGCTGTCTTCCATGTCTTGATGCGGAGGAATGCGGGTCTCGACTACGATGATGACGTTGTAAATCAGCAAATGGATGCATACCAAAACCTACAATAAATTATAATACATTTCAATCACTTAACATAAATACTTCTATATTCATAGATGTTTTAACTATATATATATGTCAAACATTCCCAATCACCTCATGCGCTATGCGAGCATCATTTGGGGGAAAAAAATAGATACAAAATTTGTTTTATTTTTCTGGTATTCTCACCAGAAGGAAAAATATGACGTGGCCATATGTCTAAAAATAAGCAAAAAAAAGCAACATATGCAAGCTCGCACTTAAGTGACTAGAAATTAATTTTTCTTTTGAAAAGAAAAAAGTAATAAAACAAATCGACTTACCAAAATCATCCTCCATGCCAAAATGTGACATAAACTGTTCAAAAATATCGAATGGATTGTGAAATTGAAATGTTTGATTAAGAAAATCTTCTGAAAATCCTCCATAAACATTGCTAGATGAAAAACCACCACCACCACTACCACCATGACCGTTTGATAAACCAGCTCGACCCAATTGATCATATCTTCGACGTTTATCTTCTGCAATTTATTTCAAAAATCCAATATATATTAATATCAATTAGTTAAGAGCATGATTAATAGAATATAGCAACAACAGTAGCAGCAATAGTCGTCAATTCTAATTTTTCTACAATTCCCCAATGTTTTATTTCTACGATTTCCTACCTTTATTCTTTTCTTTGAATACTTGTTTATTATTAATTGCTATTTCACTCTTATGAAATATATTACGTTTAATATTTTTTAATGGTGATGTAAATTTAGAGAAATAATTTAAATTTGTATCATCGATAATTACTGGTGGGCGTCTATTTGGTAATTCATCTAGTTTATTGATATTTTTCATTGATTTTGTACGACGAAGAGTAGGAGTTGGAGGAATAGGAGAAATTGGAGGATGATCAAATGTTTGATAACTAATAAGTTCAAAATCGTGAAATTGATTGCCATTCTTTTGTGTACATGGAACTTCAAGTAAATCAATCGATTGAATATGATCTGGAATTTTTTGTGCACCGAATGCAAGTACAGATGATATAATTCCTTGTTGGCCAAGAAATAAAAGTCTTTCTCGTTCTATTTTTGATTGAACTGGTTGAGAAATGATCTCATCATAAGATCTAAATGATTTACGAAAAGGACGAGTAAAAGTTGTTTTTGGAAATTCAATATGATCAACACGATGACGAAAATATTTTTCTTCAGGTTTTGAAATCAATATTGGTGGTTGAACAAATATAGCTCGATTAACTGGTTGTATACGAATAGGTTGATTTTTAATTGGCTTAAAATTATTCATAGCAGCTGTACGACGAGCAACTTCTAATTGTTGTTCAACAAGTTGAGTTAAAGCAAATGAATCAAATTGTGGTGTTTCATTTATTGATGGTACTGTTGTTCGTTTATAATGATCGTTTAATGTTTGTCGTCGTTTTACCGAATGTTTTTTCTTTTGATTTATTTCTTGCTTTTTAATCTCTTGTTTATTTATTTTTGTATCTTGTTGTTGTTGTTGGGAATGATGAACATAATCATGCATTTTAACAACACGATCGATATCATTAGATAAATTTAAATTTGAAAAACGATTTCTTTTTCTTAAGTTTTCATTTTCTTCTGGAATAATATTAAAGTATCGTTTAATAAATTTAAAATCTGAATTATTTTTATCATATTGAAAATCATAATGAACTGACATATTTATTTCATGAACAACATTTGGTTTTAATCCATTTTGATTATCAAATACGGAAACTTCTTCATAATCATATTGATTTGTTGGATTTAAATATGATAATATTGTATCTTGACCATGGTCGTCATTTTTTCTGAATTGTTCTTCACAGACTTTTAAAAATTCTTCATCAATAACTACTGCACGAAATAATGCTTCAAGTTCTTCATTTGTTCTTTCGCTATAAACTATTGATGGGCCCAATTGATCATATAAAAATCGTCCACGACCTGTTTAAGTTTTAATTAGGGGGAAAAAAAAGAAACGACTACTGCTGATGCTGCTTTTTAAAATGCAAGAAAAGCTTAAATTTTCTAAAATGTTTTCTTTTTCTACTTACTATCAGATAAAACTTCATAAGCTTCGGATATTAATTTAAATTTTTCTTCTGCTTGAGCTTTGTTTGTAAGATTTTTATCTGGATGCCACTAAAAATTTCTATTTTAAAAACATACTAAAAATTTAACATAATACGTACCTTGAGAGCTAACCGACGGTATCTAAAAATAGAATATAGTACTCAATTAAAAGATTATTATCTATCGACATAACATACGCTTTTTTGATTTCATCTTCTGTGGCCGTTTTCTCGACCTCGAGTATTTCATAAAAATCAGTCATTATTCTTTTTTACTAAATAAAAACGAGAATAACACTGAAATAAAGAAAACAATTATTTACAGAAGTCTTATTCTCAATGCGTAGTAGTTACTTTTTTCTCGTCTAATATACTCTATTGTACATGTCTCTTTTTCTTCGTCTCCGAAAGCAAACGGGCCTCGACGCGTCTCATTCGTTGGCTTAACTAACTATGTGCATTATGTATGTAAAGAAAGAAAAAAGAAAACAAAAGCGACAAGAGATCGACAACGTCCTTTTTTTGTGATGACGTCAAGTCTGACAATGATCATCCTTGTCACAATTGATTGCTCTTCAAATTTACCTTGAATCGTTCGAGAATGATCTTGGCAATCAATGAAAAAAACCTTCACGCCACAATGCTATAATGATTGAGCTGATGAACCTGTATTAAACAAATGAGAGTATTAAATTGTCCAACAAATTATAAACACATACTTATTTGCTCCTTGTTAGTTACACAAAAAACTTACCAGATATATACAAAAAAGAGAGCAGAATTAATCTAAAAATAAATGATATACAAAAGAAAACTTTATTAATAATAGTGAATATTTTTCAATGGATATTTCTCGTATCTTTTTTTTTTGTTGTCTACTACCGAGTAAGAAAAACTTCTTATGTCGGTATTTCTCCAGACCAGTGACACCATGTCATCTATACTGTTTGACGTACTCTCCCAGTTAGACCAATTAGTGTATAGGGTGTCGTCAATCTGGAAAACAAACCGCAACGCCTTTCTCTTGTGTCTGCTTAACAATATAGCATAAAATCATTTTCATCCTTCTCGAACAATCAGCAAATGTTCGTCATTACAAACCATTCTGTCGTGACTTGAATTAATAATAAGGAAGAAGGAAAAAAAAACGGACACCTTCTTCCACAACTTTCTCAAATAGTCAAAAGAAAAAAAGACTATACTTGGAAAAAAACCACTCACATGTACTACGTAAAAGATCTTTTCACTGAGTAAGATAAAAACTCAAATTCTCTAACAAACATTAAAGTCAAAAAAAAAAATAATACAGTAATAAAAAAGACAAAACACATACATACTCAGTAGCAGTTTTATTTAACAGTACTTTTATTTTATTGATCAAAATACTCTTTACTAAGAGAAAAAAAAAAAGGCGGCGAACACTAAATGGACGTCAAATACGAAGGACGAATAAATAAATAAAAACAAAAAGAAAAATCAATGAAAATTACTCATTGGAGACAATTTTATCCAACAAGAAACAACCTACTTGCATGACTGTGTTAATACGAGGAAATACATTCGTCATGTGCTTGAGTTATAACAATTATCAGCTGTTTGTCTAGTAGAAATATTCATAGTTAAATCATGAGCAATAATGACGAAATTTGTGTTTATTCAAAATGTATAGAAGATCTACCTGAAGAAATTTTATTACATATTTTTCGATATGTTTTACCTTATAAGTAAAGACAGAAATTTATCTCTCAATAAAATTTATTAAGCTTTTTATTTTTGTTTTGTTTTTGTAAAGAGATTATGTGTCTATTCGACTTGTTTGTCGACAATGGGAAAAACTTTGGCATGTAATTAAAAATTGGCGTATGAAAACTTTTTATAATAGTTTATCTTTATCAACATCATCAGTTTCTATTCATTGGCATTTAATTGATCCACCAAAAAAATTTAATTTAACACCACGTTTTTCACATTCTGTTTGTTATGTTGATTCAAATCGAATGTTATACGTATTCGGTGGTAATAGAGATATGGCTACATCACTTAATGATTTTTGGCGCTTAGATTTATCAACACGAAGGTGATTTTTCAGTTTTATTTTTATATTTATTTTATATTTATTTAAATTTTTAGTTGGGAAAGAATTTTAGCAACAGGAAGTTATCCACCACCAAAATGTTCATCAACATTTATTAATGATGAACAAGGAAATTTATTATTATTTGGTGGTCGTTCAATGATTTATGTTGATGATATACATATGAGAGAACAACTTCACAATGAACTTCATTCATATTCATTTGAAAGAAATTCTTGGAATTTACATGCAAATTTAAATGAACCTGGACCTATTTGTGATCATAGTGCATCAATTGTTAATATTAATAATAAAAAACAAATGATTATTTTTGGTGGATCTATGATAATCAATGATCAAAATCAACAATCACCATCTCAAATAACAAATGATTTATGGCAATGGACAGATATACAAACAAATATTTGGACAATGATTCATGTTAATGGAACCAAACCAGAACCAAGAAAAGGTTATTGAAAAGAAAAAACATATATACTTAGAAAAAAAAACAGCTTTTTGGTACAAACCTTGCGCAAAACGATGCAACTGCTACTGCTAATCATGAGGATATTGTTTTATTCTATCTATTTTCGAAGGCATTTCTTCATCGTTTTGCTTAATTATTCAGAAATGTAATAAGAAAATAGTTCGTATATACTATAATGAGACATTATTTCTATAGAGTCTGTGCTCGTATATCAACAACGCCTGTCAAGGTTTACGACCTTCCTATGGTTACGTTTGTCACGGTCTGTTATGACCTCTAACTCCCATCTGTCACAGTTTACAATAGCCTTCAACTGATGTTTGTCACGGTCTATTGGAAGGAGAGAGAAACAGGTTCAGATTTTAACTCGTATGCATCAATATTACTTTTAGATTGGGTTTAACAAATATACTTAGAGAATATTAAAAAACAAGTGTTTTCTCTTTGATAAAAAGAAAACTATTTTTCGGCATTGTTTTACAAAATTCATTAAAAATTTCGTTAAAAAATCAAATATATATATATATGATTCGATGTATCTTCATATCTTCTTTCTGATGATGAAAACGACAATTCTCTATCTTGATCCTATGAATAGTTATTTAAAATACTTAAAATTATTATTGGAACATATCATAACAAACAGCTCTTGTAGAAATTTTATTATTATAATATTAGTTAAAGAATGATGAAGTGTTTAAAAAAAAAAAAAGAAAATTTCAAGCACAATTTTTTTCTATCAGCACATATAATAGTGAGAAAATTTTGCTCAATCATTCTACATGATATAGAAGTCTTTCCATTATTACTTGTTGGTATTGATTAAACTTTTTCTTGTACTTTTTTTCTCTTTAGGTCATTCTCAGTTTACATTAAATTCTGAAAATATTTTAATTGTTGGAGGTTCATCTTTAACTCGTGTTTGTCGTGATGTATGGCTTTTTTCATTTCAAACAAATCAATGGACACAAATAACAGTTAATAATCAATATCCGAATGATTTTGCACCAAGTAATGACGATTTAGCTTATTTACCATTTTGTATGGTATCACCATCAAATATCTTAATAACATTTGGTCGATTAAAACGACATCCCACTGAAAATGAACGTCATTCATATAGTCAATATGATTTTTCTCATTGTGATAAAAAATCTCATGAAGAATTATTTCTTGCGTCATCATCTCTTCCAAGTAGTTCAAGTGATGAAAATGATGAAACAAATCGTTATTCAATAATACACAAACGACCACAAATACCCTTAATAAATAATAAATATAATATGATGGATATATCAAGTGGTTTTCAAATGTATCGTCTTGATTTATCAAATATATTTTCATTAAATTCATATGTTACATGGTTACCATCAAAATGTACATCTGTATTTGGTAGTCCATCACGTTCATCACTTTATTATTCATTAATATATGCTCGAAGTGAACTTATTCTTTTCGGTGGTATAGAAAAAAGAAAACTATATTTACAAAAAAATTTTTCAGACAAAGATAATCGATTTCAATCGATATCAGGCACACTTGCTTTTATTACAATATCAAATATTGCTCTGTAGATTTTATTTAATTATTTCATTTAATTTTAGATATAAATATGCGTTGGGAATTTAAAACTAATAATCCTTATGAAAGTCGTCGTGCTGAAGGTATGACAAACGAAAAACCAAAAAAAAATAAAATATTTTAAAATTTTTAGGCGAACGTATTCGTCGTGAATATCCGGATCGATGTGCAGTTATTGTTGAACGTGCACCCAATTCACGTATTTCAGATCTTCCATCAAAGAAATATTTAGTACCAAATGATCTTACGGTAATCTTTTCTTTTGTTTGTCTTTTTTATTGATGATGATATTTTAGGTTGGTCAATTTTATTTTCTTATTCGTAAACGTATTCAACTTCGACCAGAAGATGCTCTCTTTTTCTTTGTCAATAATGTATGTATTTATTTAGATATGTGTATATATACCCATGAACAAAAGTCTTCCTTCTTACCTTTCATTCTTTTCGCATAGAATTCCTTTGATCTCAAATGAATCCTAATTACAAGGATGTCTTAAGAACTTTATTGTAATGTAGTGTATGATTGACGTCAATTTACTTCAATGAAAAATATACATTTTTCAATACAGTTGAGCAATACTACAAATGAGTTGATTGATAGAATGTTTCACGATTAGATTATCTTTTTTTTTTTTCTTTTGTATCTGCTAATTGTTGTATTGGTTTTAATGATGAAACTTTCTGTGTTGTCAATTTGAAGGTCTTCCAAGAATATGGTATAGACATCTATACAAAATACAGATAAAGTAAAATTAGTGAAATATTCAGAAAATATTTAAAAAGAAAGAGATTATTTAACCATGAACTATTCTAATAACCAATTCATTTGTAGTATTGACCGATCGTATTGAATGACGTACATTCTTGATGGAAAAAAAGAGTACGGCACAAAAAGAATGGAAGGGGAGGGGCAAGACTTTTGTCCATAGGTGTATATATTTATCCGGAAGAATTTCGATTAGATTTTTCTTATCTCATAAAGTATTGTTTATATCGAATAATTTACAATTCATATTATTTCTATTGATTAGCTCGTATTTTGACAAAATCTTCGTTTATAATTGACGTATAGTCGAGGAAAAATACTCCTAGTATTTTTTACATGGATATTATTTTGT